AGATCGTCAAAACACACTGCAACAGCCTCAACCCCACTTCCCGGACTCCAGCGTGCAGACGTAGCCACAACGGTTCAAGCATCCAGCCCCAATACTAAGCCACATCGCTCCACTCCCCAATCCGAATACCTCATGAATTCGGTACTTTGCACCCTTGGACCCTGAAAAACCCTAAACCCCTAAACACTGCCCTAAGTCGTTTGGCGCAGGTGCCCGAAGCACTACGAGACCTTCTGCCACGCCCGCCTCCACCCTCCACCACCCTAAACCTAAATCCCACACTCCAGCACTTGAGACGCTTCCGGGCTCAGGGTTTTTGAGCTTCTTCAAGAGTGGGGCGTCGGGTTCAATTAAGCATCTTAAGGTATCAGTATCCTACAGCCCTCAACACCATAACTAAACATGAGACCCCTAAAGTCTGCGTGGCACAGCTGAGGTATCCCCGATGAAGGAGGACAAGATGCGGAAGAGACTCGCCCCGGGGCACTTTTGGGAGGATGACAAGGACTGCAAGTACGTATCTCGATCCTATGGCTGGCGGTGTTCTCCTTTCTTGGGGTTTAGGCTTTAGCGCCTTGTACTTTAGAGGCCTAAATAATTACCTAAACTATTTTTTTCGGGCGGGGGGGGGGTCCTTATTATAAGTATAGCATAGACCCCAAAACCCTATCCTTAACGCCCCTACATTACCAAGCTGAGCCTGGCAAGGCATTGGGGTGAAGCTTTCAGGGCTCCTTTGGGTATGGGCCGAGAACAACGGGAGCACAACTTGAAGCTTCCTAAACCCTAAAACCCTAAAACCCTAAAACCCTAAAACCCTAAAACCCAAAAACCCTAAAACCCGAAACCCGAAAACCCTAAACCCCAAACTTTGAGAGTTTTGCCGCAGCCATCATATCGCCTTAAGGCCTAAACCCCTAAACCCCAAGCCTCACCCCAGCCTCAACTGAAAGCTCAAGACCCGAGTTGACCAGAGGGTCCTTCACAAGCTGTCCATAATTTCTGTGGCATAACTATAGCCTTGTAATATAATCCGTATTTACATTATAGGGTATTCTATTCTGTTCTCTTTGTTCTATTGCATTAGATTGTTATATTTTTCTTATCTATACATACGCATACTATTATATCGAACAGGAGCGTTTTAATCATAATTTTCACACATCCGGACCTCCCAAGCTGCCCTGGGCACTCAAGGTTACGCTCCCGCTGGCCATGGTCATCTCAGAGCATGGCAAGCGGATGGGACCAAAAGTAGGGTTTAGGGGGTAGGGGGTTTAGGGTTTAGGGTTTAGGGCCTTGGGTTTAGGGTTCAGGGTATAGGGTCTAGCTTCCTTCCCAGAGACTCCAATATCCCTTAATTAAGGAGTATACCTTAAATCAGATTAGGGATCCTATTGTAATTTAAGGTATATTCCTTAATTAAGGGGTTTTGGAGTCTCTGGGACCCGATGATTATTGAAGAATATAGGGGCCTCAATGATTACCTATACTATTTTGGGGGCTCCTTACTATAACTATAGTATAGCATACCCCAAAACCCTATTCTAAGTATTAAGGCCCCTACATGAAGCCCCTCCCCTGTAATTTTGGGGAGTCTTTCGGGCTGCAACTAGCAGTGCTGTTTGAAGGTAGGGTGTGGATGAATCAGAGGTCTGCGCTGTTTCGTCTTGTGACGTACTTAGTTGCTGTCCAACTCGTTCAATTCGGAGAAACAGGGGTTCTCGGCTTCAGGGCTTACGTCCCTAAACCCTAACCCCTAAACCCTAGAAGCCCTAAGCCTTATAAGCCCTAAAGCCTATAAACCCTAAACCCTAAACCCCCTTTGCCCTAAACCCGACATCCTATAAACCCTAGATTTAAAGCTTGGGATGCTTCATGTCTCCAAAAGTAGTTTAAACTTAGGCCTGACATGTGGTTCATGCGTGGGCATTTCAAGGCCTAAGCATACCCACAGGCCCCATAGTAGTTCTTTTTTGGGGTTCATATTTTGAGTCCTATTAGGTACTCCCCAAAACGAACTACTCTGGGGCCTATGGGTATACCATATAGGCGCATGGAGTTTCAGGGGAAGGGGACGATGGTTCCACCTCAAAAGGTGCCTCTCTGCGTCAGCCGGCGCCAACCTGACGGAGAAGTGCAACCCAACAGCGGTCCCTCGACGGACTTCCCAGGCTACGTACAACTTTAAAAGCGTTTGTAAGGTTTGATATACTACTACCGGAATCAGTAGAATAGGCTTTCGGGGTATTGAAACCTTTATATTGATATGGACACCTGTTTTGTCAGCCTGATAGAATCCCTCGCGTTTGGGATACAAGGTCCTGCAAGCTTTTCTGGTAGAACAACACCCCTGCAACTTCGCCCCCTCGACCCTGCAATCCCGAATCCACAGACTTCAACCCGGAATTCTGGAATCTGAAATGACTCGGGGCAGCGGCATTGCAGCATTGTAGCTTCCACATGAAGTAACCGATGATGCACCGCATAATTTCGCTGTCGGGTGCTTCAGGCTCGGTCTACCTATCAAACCACAGCATCCCATGGTTGCAATGAGGTCAACTGCGGCCACACGACAGCTTGCAACAAGTGCTGGATTCTGCAGCGGGCCACGGAGAACAGCGTCTTCACTGGCCACTCGTCGAAGAGTTTAGGACACACCAGGAAGGAACCCCAATCATTCTTTTATTAGGGTTCTGGAAGTATACTTAGCTTCATACACAGCATAGGATTTATGTAGACAGGATTCTGGTTCCCGAACATAGGGTTTACAGGGTCAAAGCTTTATGCCCCCTTCTGGTTGCCAATAATCTGGCCTACAGGGTCCCAGCTTTACATCCGAGAACCCGGCCGTCCTGTCATTCCCAGTACTCTCCAAACAGAAAATTACAGCTTAACCCTACCTGTGGCCCAAAAAGCCTACCTTTTTAAGGGACTATATATAGAAACCATAATAAGGAACCCTAAAAAGGTAGGTGTGTTCGGCTACAGGTAACCCTAGGCGCTATACCCCACCCTACAGCCTGAATCTGGTCACCGCAATGCTTGAAATCCGAGCTTCATGCCCCCAAAAGAAGACGCGCAGTCATATCACACCCAGAACCCTGAAGTTCACAAACCGATTCCCAAGTTTCACACCCAATGATCCCAGAGTCTTGAAGCCCTGAACCCTCAACCGTGCCACACGAACCCTTAACCCTCTAACCCTAAACCCTAAATCGCCACAAACTAGGCCCTTGTAGTCTTACCTACTCGCCAAGTTGCTCAAACCCAAAGCTCCCTAAGCTCTCAAGTCCCTACACACTTCTTTCTCACCCTTTACGAGACCATTAAAAGAAACTTTGATACGCCCTCTATTCTAAACACTCCATAGAACCCTTTTCACATAATCAAAAAACCCCACAGCGAAACCCTGCAATTCGCCCTTTGAAACAAGCAGCCTGAAGAGAAGCCTGAACCCCGAACCGAACCCTATGATCAGCCTTTAACCGTATTCTCAACCCCAGCTCGAAACCAAAACCCTAACCCTAAACCCTGCAACCCTAAACCCTGAACCTAAACCCTAAACCCTAAACCCCAAACCCTAACCAGCGTGTAGGATGGAAGCTGAAGACAGCCTGCGGTGGGCTGCGCCCTCCCAAGGATCCGTGGCAGGTTTTGGCAATGGGGTTTTTCTGTCTGTGCCTAGTAGGGAGTGGGGGAATGGGTTGGTTACATATTGGGACTACTATAAGGGACTTTAAGCGACTATCATAACGATCCGTTCCCCCATTCCCTACAATGCACCAGACAGTCTTTGGTTTAGGGCGTTGGGGGCTGATAAAGTTTAGGGGCTTGGGATTGAGGTTTTATTGTGTAGGGGTTTGGGGCACCCAGGTTTAGCTTTTAGGAGGTTTGTGTTTATGGGAGGTTTAGGTTTGAGGGTTTAGGGCTCTGCGGTTTTGGGTTCAGGGCTTTGCGGTTTTAGGGTTTCGGGCTTTGCGGTTTTGCAGGGTTTTTGACCCACGTGCTGTACAGTACTGTGAATTTAGGCGATACTTTTTTCACCGGGGTTGGCTGAGGGGTGTAATGGAAAGTTTGGCAACCATAAGACTCAAGAGATATGGGGGGTGTAAGTTACAGTGTAAGGATTTTGGGGTATGCGGTCCTCGAGCCCTAGATACCGATGAAGGAACCCCTTTTGAGGCCAGCGCATAAACTACACGGGTACCCGGACTCTTGCAAAACCCTTATTGACCCCTTGTAAATACTAGCGCTTCAAACCCTCATGGAACACTTATACAGAGAGCGTTTGCAGAGCATTCGCACTCGTAAAGATCCCATTAGCCCATAGCATCAACATTGCCCAAAAGCCTTATATAATAGGGTCTTTAGGCCCAAAAGCCTTAAAAGTATGAGTCCTTTGAGGGTAAGGGTAATACTAGGTACATGCCTTCTTCTGGGACTCCAGATCTGGATCCTAGTTTAGAGAACTACCCAAATCTTAAGCTGAAAGAGCCTTTGGTAATCACACCCCTTTACCAGGACCCCCCAAGGGCCCTTTAATGGAGCCCTTATGGCCCTTACTAGTGGGTACTTAGGGTATATTAGAGGGTAGTTGGGGGGTCTAGGTATGGTCCCCCTTTATGTTATGGTTCCCGCAAGACCATTATGGTCTAACACTTAGTAGAGCCTGAAATGTCCCAATGCCATGATCCCTGAACCCAAGACCCTGCATGTGTGCCATGAAGCGCAGTGACATGTCACGCTCCGAGCAGGGCTAGACGTGTGTTTTAGGTAATTCGGCCGAGATAAACTTACCCTCTGACCCTACTTGCGAGTTCCAATGAACGTCTTGCGCAAGAGGTGTCCCTTTTATTTGTGGTTGAAGGAACGAACGCACCAGGGATCCCGATACACGTTAGCCAAGGACTGTACCTGACATCTTAAACCGAAGTATTCGGTAATATCAGCTTTAACATAAGGTATCTAGTCGAGTGGGCCATCTGTTAGCTTAGGCTACGGGGTTTCTGGGACTAAATCCTGGAACCCTGAAACCCTAAACCCTAAAGTCCTAAAGCCTGACGTCCTGAATTCTGAACCTTTAACCCTAAACCCTGAAACC